TACCAACCCGCAACAATCGTGTCAACACGGGGGTTCCCCTAGCAATAAACTTGCATCTAAATTCACTACTGTTCTACTGTCGGCTAGCCACAACGGCTAGACGGGACCCTAGTGGAATGGTTCATGCCATAAAAGTCTAACAACCGAACACTAATTAAGACGGGCCGACCTTGTATTTACGGTCTGGTGAACACAGCTCAATGGCCGCTCATTAACTCAAATTTCACATCTCACTGTTTTGTTTTATCTCACTATTCATTTGATAATTTTGTCAACTTCAACTGGAACCCGGTCCCGTGTTACACGCGTGTGCACCCCGTGTGCAACCCGTGTGCAACCCGTTGAGCACCCGTGTCACATGCGTGTTACACGCGTTCTCAACGCGTGTTAGGGGAATGAACTTTTAGGCAGTAGTGTAGGTAAAAATAATATCTATCGCTAAAATCCAAGAGAATAGGTATGGTGCTGTCAAACCTAAAGACATAATCAGAGTGGCAAGTTTTGACTTACCAGGTGCCTTAAAGTGAGTATATTCTCACACATGTGAAAAGCGATTGACCCCACAAGAAAGAGCTGAGAACTGTCTCTCGGACGGTTATGGGTGATGGTGTATTTATAATATCTCTGGGGCGTGTTGAAAATAAGGACCATGACTTTGGTTATATATCGACCCTGTATTTAGTTGTTAATCGGTAGCATTCATCGAACTGTAGTCCAAATGTATCAGCTTTGTCATCCATTGTTGCAAGTTTGGCTGGGTTCACACAATAAAAAATCAAATTGATCATCAACTAATAAGGCATTCAAGCGCCTGTATTATTAAAAATATACATGTCAAGTAAGGCAGCCATGTTACATGTAGTCTGGCAAGCTAGTAATAATTTCGTCGTAATATAGCTGAATAATTGCTGGTGTGACGTAACACTTAACTCACTCACAGACACTGTATTTATTGTGCGAGTAAGCTGGACAATCCACGCTCGAACAATACGCCAAACTGACATTGCCCCATACTGAATATACAAATAATTTATATTACAGTTATATTTAAATTCTACAAACTATAACTATATAAATATTAAAATTCATAAACACTTCTCAATTTCATCAAAATGTCACTACCTGTAAGTTGTTACAGATAAACACTGATTCTGACAAAGTTGGGTCGTCTTTGACATAAACAAACAGAACCTTTTATTCAGAGATGTTTATCCTCACTTTGCCACCAGACTGCAGGGGATTAACAGTTACTGTTAAATGGTAGAGTCCCTCACAAAACTTCCTTTTATTTATTCTATATATCAAAACAAAAACAAAACGTAGGGTCTGGGGAAATGGAGCATATCCCTACGTGAGATAAAAGGACCCTAATGTTTGTGACTGCTCTATCATAATTGTACTATCTGAAGAATAAATATGGCGAACGAACATCATCATATTTTCAATCACTTGGAATGACTCATATAGGCAAAAATGAAATAAAAAATACCGCAATCCACAAACACAATAACTTGATTAACTGCGAACATTTACCAAACCGAGACAATCTTGTCAACTCGGGGATTCGCGTAGCAATGAACGCGTATCAAAATTCACTACTGTTCTTCTCTCGACTAGTTACAGTAGCTACACTGGACCCTAGTGGAATGGTTCATGCATATAAGCCGAACACTAAAAAAGACGGGCCGAACTTGTGTTTATGGTCTGGTGAACAAGGTCAACTCAAGATTCACATCTCATTGTTTAGTTTTTTTCTCTCTATTGATTTCTCTTCACGGTTTGTAGACCATAGCAACTACCGGGAGAGTACAGCGTGAGAGCGAGTGTATGTCTCGTTACTCATACAGGCGTGATGTTCCATATTTGAAATGTGAAACACTGATAAGCAAAGTAACACGTCATTAATTATGTTGTCTTAAAGGGGCACTGATCCAAAGCAATTCCCCGGGGCTGGTTGTTGCCTTTGTTATTGTTGTTTTTTCCCGTGAGTACCCGGATCTTACGCAACGCAACTGAGCGTGACACGAGACTGGGCTACCGTCTGCATGGGCAGCTAAATAAACTCGGAGGCAATATTTGTTTTACTCATTTTTTAACACTGATTGGTTAACGGTGATCTATAAAGATTTCGACAAATGGCGCATGTTAATTAATCTCTTCAGCCTAAACAAACAGACAAAAAGAACGGCGCAGTTCATCGGATGTCGTTATTTGGAAATACCCCTGATGGCTATGGTTTAATAATAAAAACAATTATCCATGCAGTGTAAGCATTTTCGGATTTCGGGTTGCGTCGATAATACGATTACTACTCCCTTGTTGTCATCCACGTTTTCTGATATAACCCTACACTTGTGTATTTGTCGTCATTCAAATGATGCTCAGTTAATGAATTTATAACAGGTATAATTGGTGGTAGCACCACGCAGAATACCCGACAAAGGTTTACGTTTATTGTGTCTGGGGTAATTATTCAATCTAAATCCAGGTTTGAAGTGAGGTGAAATGTGTGTTATGCAATATGTACGTGGCAGCTCAGCAAGAGATGAATGATCAGTTGATTTACCTTTTTTTGTAAATCAACTGATCGTTCCTAGTCTTCAAAGGATCAACAGAAAATACATTGATTGATTAATCACTGTTATCTTGCACAGTGGATATGTCAAAAGTGAGTGTTTACTTGTCTAGGTTTACTAAAACAAAAGGAATACACTCATATCATGGCGTGAAGTGCCGATGTAAAAACAACATATTTTGTTCAAAGGGTTATCTACCTAAATAGATTTTTTTAGGATCCGTGGACGTTATGAAAACAGTTATCACGTGGGCTTTCTCAGCGCACCTTTGAGACTTGACACCTATGTGAAACACCTGAAACAATCTAAGTGATCAGTTGAGAAACGAACACGGGTTATAATATCCCGAAACGATATATATATATTTTCAAATATTTGATTGTTACAGAGACACGTGACATCGAACAAGTTTCTTTATACAGCTGCAGACGTGTGGTATATTGTTCCTTTGTGTGGATATTCACGGATACTTTCCTCGAACAAGGAAGCTGCCTACAATTATACACATAAATTTGGTAGGTTGTAATTAATATATTTTGTTTTCCTTCATTTGCTGTAGCATTCGACAGATTCATTCTTGTTCCTCAACGTCTTGGTTGGGAAATTCTTCAATACGCGATAGACGGTTTTTTTACAAGTCTTTTCCTTTGTAAGTATGTATATATCACAGTCAATTTGTAAAATGTGATTCTCTCAGGCAATATATAAATGTGTAAATATTTCAGTCATATGACTGAAACATCTGTTCATTTCTTTAACACATTGACTCAAATTGATTAAGACGACCAAAAGGGCCTCAAAACATCACAATAGATTTTTATGTAGGATTAAAAGCCAAACAAAATAGAAATTGTAACATTTTCAGTCTCTTGGTGATGATATTAAACATAACAATGTTTAGAATTCGTCGTCATAATAATACAGATGGACATATTTGTCATTTTTATTTGTAAAAAAACCTGAATATTCAGGCGTTTAATAAATTTAATTAAACACGATAAAATAAGCAATGCTCAGGAGAAATATTTACTTCGTGTTGCAAGTCAAAATAGTGTAAACGAAAATCGCACAATGACCAAGCAAGTGACTTATCAAAACCTCGTCACCATTACCGATATTACCCACAAAGATACCTACATTTCCTTATCATTTCCAAAACTGTATTTCATTTTGTTGATCAATGTGCCCATATGCCTTTATATATACTGTCAATAAAAGTGACAAATGCGCTTACGAATTGCGCAGCACAGGTCGCGAACTAGTCTAGGTTTCTGCTATATCATTCGGGTACTCACGGGACAAAACAATAACAAAGGCAACAACCATCACGGGGAATTGCTTTAGATCAATGCCCCTTTAATGACCAGATCACTGCAGAGAGGGGTCATTCAACTTCAAATGCATGACTGACTAACACGTGTGACATAGATATTAGTGTACTCATCAAAGTTAGTGATCCACGGAAAATGTCATCAAGATACATAGCTGAGAGAGATTGCATTCTGGAGAAGAATACAACATTCCACTCACCCAGCCACCTAAACGAATCAGGGCGAGTGCAACAATAAACAAAGTTGTCGCCTCACGGACAGTGAATAGAACCCCCTCCGACTGGGCCATTGATAGGCAGGATCATTCGACTGTGCAATGAATTCAAAACTTCACCAAGTGAGACCACGCACTCGATTCCCCGTTGAAACAGGTTCCGGGACGTTAAAGGGCAAAATAGTGATGAACATAATATGAATGGATCACTGGTGGCACCAGCCATTCACACAATTCCATAAAAACGAAAGTGGTTGTTTGATGCCTGACTCCACACCCAGGAATACTCCTACCATACGACTGCAGCCTGTACACAAAAGAGTCTGGTCCAGACAATCCAGTTCTTAGTATCACGAGTTGTTTTTAACGTCGTTGGGATATGAAGAATCGTTGTGAACCAAGTCGCAAATCCCTACAGCCCAATCCATTAAAGTAAGTGCCCGTACAGAAGGAGATCGCGCCTCATGTTGACATGTCTCGTGTTTAGTAACAGTTCAACAGCAGCATAAATTAACGGGCAAAAGAAAGTATACACTTGAGAATTGGATTTGATAACACAAATTACAAATATGATCAAAACGTAACTTTGTTCAAAACAGTCCCTGAAGCACTGCAATCTTAAGGTAACCATCAAATAACCATTTCTTGTTTGTTTTAGGCCCCATCAAACATGGAATTATATACTTTGTTTTGCCCGGCAATTTAGATAATCTGTTTGAACATTGAATTAAAAATGTATACACCAGAGAATAATCAGTCTCGATTATATGACGTTCACTTGGGCTTAAAACGCAAAAAAGTGATGAAATTTGCATGTTCTGCTCCACCGGTTGCATCCGCCATTCACGTTACTTTCATAAAAAAGTATGTATTTCTTACCTCATACCACACTCCTTTCACACAACGGCGGCCTGTAAAAGCAACAAAACCCTTTCCATATTCACAAGAAATCTCTGCCAAAACAGAGTTGGTTTCCGACTATATCATAAGCGTGTGAGGCAACCAATTCACGAAGCATGACCATCCATGAGTATATGAAAAGTTACATAGACAGTTTGGTTTCTGAACATCATTTTGGTATAGTCAGTGGTAAAATGTTTTACGGTAAACATATTTCAACAACTAGTTGTACGGGGTGGTTACTTCGGAGTTAGACATTTTAACATAACAGGATTGTGTGAACAAATGTACAAGCAACATTGGAATATATGTGGTGGTGGGGGACTCACAAATGATGATGAAATGATAAATACGATTATTTATTATGATTATCAGACAACATAAAAATAAGAGAAACACTAAATGGCAAGTTAAAATCTCAGAATATTAGCATGCTAGCAATGTGATAATGCATATCTTAGGTGCACACATGTTAGAGCTTTAGAACACGAAGCTTAAACGTGTTACACAAAAGTGTGGAGATACGTTACAAACCAGGCATCATATTTGTGACACCTACAATTACAACCGAGCACCAACTGATGTTTTCTTAACTTATAAATTGCTTTAGTCACGATATGGCTGAAATATTGCCGATGTGACTTTAAATTTTAACTTACTCACTCACTCACTACAACCGAGCATGTACATGTTATCCCATAGTCTCCCCCGTACGCTAATGACGAGATAAACATGGAATAAATGAAAATAACACGTCCCATTTTAATTCTGGAAACCCAATAGTCCAGAAACTCTACGGTCTTTGCCCAGTCTCGGTCAAAGGTATTTCCAAATTAAACATGCTGTTTTCATGGGAACTTACTAAGGAAGAAAAAATGAAACAAAATTGTTCAAAAACTCAATATTTACAGTATGTTGCCCATGGGCCCCAGTGGCGAGATTATGTTCCTTCACTCAAAACTCTTGTATTTGTTTCGCAAATACATAAATGTTTTTCTTTCAAGTATCATGACACAAAATTTAACCTAATTCACTGATTTCATAGCGATATTGAAATATGTCGCCCAAAGGGTTTGGGCCATGAGCGAGAATATTTTCCTTTACTCAAAAGGATTTACTCATAAATGTATTTCTTTCAAGTATCGTGACACAAAATTTAACTCATTTTTCATTCAACGATTTTATAGCGATATTGAATTATATCGCCCATGGACGAGAAAAAGGTTTGACCCATGGCCATGCGAGAATATGTTCCTTTTCTTGTGTCGCAAATACATAAATGGATTTCTTTCAAGTACCATGACACAAAATTTAACTCATTTTAACTTAATTCAACGATTTGATAGCGATATTGAAATATTTCGCCCATGGACGATGAAAAAAGTTTGGCCTATGGGCAGGCCAATGGGCGAGAATATTTTCCTTTGCTCAAAACTCATGTTTTTGTAAAATGGGGAAATGAAAAATAAATTAACTAAACTTTAATGTTGTGGAAAATAACGCCAATGAACTGGAGTACACACGCATGAAACCTCTATAAAGGAAACATCCAACCAAAGGCCCTTCTTAAATAGTAATGTAATGATATAATATAAAGTATATTTCACATGATACAATATTCTTTGCATACAATTAGTTAATGCTTTTAAGGGACTGACGAAAACATGTGCAAAATATGTTAATAACGCCACACTTCGCCCATGGGCGACATAGTGTAAAAATTGAGTTTTTGAACAATTTCTTTTTCATTTTTTTCTTCCTTAGTATGTTCCCCTGAACACAGCATGTTTAATTTTGTAAACACCTTTGACCGAGACTGGGCAAAGACCGTAGAGGTTCTTGACTATTGGGTTTCCAGAATGAAAATGGGACGTGTTAAAGGTAAAATTTACTCACCTGCTCGATCTAAGCTATCTGGTAATCCAAACATTGACTGATGCTACTTTCATAGGTGACTTGCACGCGCTGTAATCTTGGACGAGGGTAGAAACTAAATACTAGCATATAAAACACATACATGAAACTTTCCACTACCAATCTTGATAAACAAATTAAATAAAATAGCAAAGCAATACGCCAGCTCAATCTCTGACAGAAACGGCTGTTATAGCAGTCTATATTGAGTACACTGCGTATGAGTGGATATACCAGACTTGACCCGACAGTCATCAATGCGCAAGGACAATGATGTTTGCTCAAGCGTGAGCCTGTCTCTAGTGTCCCACGCGGGCTGTAATGTGTGGAAAGATACAGTGTAGACCTTGTATGCTCAAAGTGACACCGAGTGATACTGAACATGGGCGGATACAGAGGGGGGGGGGGGGGGGGGGGGGGGTGCGCATTTTATTTTTATTTCGAAAAAAATCTTTATTTCTGTATAAATTACCACCAAAGACAATAAATAGATCTTAATTGTGCACCCCCCCTTTTCAAAAAAGCTGTATCCGCCCATGCTGATTATGGATATCGCGTGGTGGTGCGTTGTGTGGTTGTTACTTGGGCGATCAGAAGAATTATATTGGTTCAGGCGCTTTATGTTGGTATATCTAGATTCTTGCAACATAAAAGAATTACTTCACGAATTCTTCTCCAACCTTCTATGCGCGTTACTAGTATCTTTCCTCTCTTTATAACGTTCAATTTCTCCTTAGCTGCCTTTTCTCCGCCTCTGTGTGGCCATCTCTCTCTTTTCGTCGCGATCGTTACTCAACCCGTATCCCGTTCACTCTTAGATATGATTTGACGGTTGTCAGTGTGAGATGTCTTCAGTTATTATATTCCCGATGACGGTAGACTATTTTCGCTGCACTATGAGATCGCACGTAGAAATAAAATGATAGAATGAGTGAGTGAGAGACGAGTGAGTGAGTGAGCGAGCGTGTCATTCAGCCAGCGAGTCAGAGAGTGAATCTGTTCGTGAATGAGTGCGTCAGTGAGCCAGTCAGGAATTTGAGTGAGTGAGTGAGTCAGCGAGTGAGTGAGTTTGTATCACAGGATGTCAGTTTGATGTAGAAGGAAAGCCTGACGTGATGCCGGACGACAACCACCAACTGATGAGGGCGAATCTGGGACAATATTGATTCTACCTTGACATCTGAAAGTACATTTATAACAGCTTTCAAGTGTCTTCAGCTACATGTGACACAATACGAGATGGCGTCTTCAAATAAATTATTAAGGAAATGTGGAAGGCATTTGCAAATTTGAGGCCTCAGTGATCAACGTGAAGTCCGTTGCAGTTACCTACCTGTATGTGGCCATTTCTTCCCGTGTTTTATTTTGTCAGGTGAACACTTGATTTACCTTTGCATGTGACTGTGACGGGTGTCACCGGTGGGACAAGATACGTTCACCGTTTCGCGTTATGTCAATTCAATTTTTCAAATATGCAATCTACATATGACATAGGTAGTCTTTGTAAGATAGGTGTTGAAGAATAACAGAAGCAGCATACAAAGTCTGTGTCAACTGAAACGGTTCTGTAACATTTTCAAGGACATCACTTTATTGAATGGCTGTGTCAATAGTTAAAAACATGTGTTTTTTTATATATATCGATCATAACTGTAGTTATGCTCTTAACATGGTTGACTTCTTGTAATGTAATCCGTCATATGAAGTCTAAAAAATGTGTGTCACTACACTATTTACGCCAGAGCCTATCCTCGTTGAGACTGAGACATGATTTGCGCTACAGACTTTCAACATATGAACTGAAGATCAAGATTTCTTACACACCTGTGGGTGAGAAACCCATTTGAGATAACTGGTATCAAACATATATGTGAGATCGAATTCCAGGCCCGTGATTGGCTACTCCATGGTGATGACCTGAGGTCAGATGATGACGGACTATTACCCCGAGTGTAAGTCATTCATAAGATGCTCGTGCTTCAGTCGAATGTTACGTCTGTCGTGAACAACAGGACCGTGTAATTATTAATAATAATAAACAAACTTGTCCTCGTCTGCGAATTTGTTTGCTATTATTATCAGTTACATTATCTGTTGTTTTGTCAACATTATCGTTTTTTCAGAGTGTAAACACCCTGGATGCCACAGCGACACATATGTCCCTCCTCTTTAACCCTCACTTCGAAATGGAATCAAATTCAAAATACATCACGCAGACTAATACACTTCATGTGCACAGTTTTGAATTCCCCCTTCTGCTTATCCTTTACTATCATTTTAGGCAATTCAAAATTACTGAAAGTGACTTCTTAAAATTGTAAACCTCGCCAAATCACAATTCACGGCGTTATATAAATATTTATTGTGTGTTTAGAAATCTAAATATCGGATATTTACTCGAATAATTAAAGAAGAAAAATAGCATATTAGCGATCACGGGTATCAAATCACTAATGATAATTCTGAAACGTCGCTGATAAGCCTAGAATCGTTTAGAATGTTTTGGAAAATACGTTCCGCAATATTGGATTGGATTGTATTTACAAAATGCCGGTTATGAGACACCTATTCGATCAGGTATATTTCAAACTCAGCTGCTATACGTGCATCCCTGAATTACTCATACATTTTCGAAACAATAGATAAATAGTCTTTGTCACCAATGCAAATTTTCTTGATGAAATCATGCGAAATAAATTAGAGTCTAGGTATGGAAACGAAAACTGTGCTTGGAAAACTGTACTTGCTGAAATGTAAACAAAACAATTTGAGATTTTACACTGTGTAGCATTTTTAGAGGGACGTTCGTCTAATTGTTGCATACATTGGCTCGATCACGCGTTTAAGAGTATTCATGGGAAGAGTATGGTTGCACTAATTATGAAAATACACAAATACACATTACAATGATGTGGTAAGTTCAACAGAAGCCGTAAAAGGTACCGTCCTGTGTGACGCCATGACTGACGCTAAATCACGCACAACGATGACGGTAGTTATCTGCATTTCTGACTTATTCTCTTTGTTACATTGGAAAACACGGTAAACAAATAACAGTACGCAGATTGTCAGAATGTTTCTGATTACTTACGTGAAACATTTATGAGTATGCGATCCCTCAATCAACGAATATCCTCCTTTGGAAATCCCGCGTACTGTTGTCAGTGAACACGTCATTTTGTAAAAGTCGGTCACCGGTAGTGATGTCATACGGAAGTAAACATTGTTATACATATTTGGTAATTTCTTTGAGGCGTAAACTTTCAACTTGGCGTTTCTTTGTTTTTGTCTAGTTTGCATTTTCATCATCGCCTTGATAATCCACAGATATGACGGAAACCTTTTTGTGTAGGGTCACATTATTTATGAGAAGTAATTATAAGCAGCACAAAGGATGACGTCACTTATGACAGTGGTGTTATGTATTAATGCACTACTGCAATCATGAGAATAGACAAAATTCATCGGTTCGATGCTTGAAAGGTGCGATTTTAGGGTGTGTAAGAAACATATTACTACACTCGTGCCTGTCAGATACCATTGATCTTACAACTCGTTGTTACAAAGCGTATATAACGAACATTAGGAATATGAACAAAATATTTACGACAAAATCCGTTCCATAATGATAAGAAATCCCTCTTAAAGCGGAGTCCATTGTACGATTCCGACTATATTACGAGCATGTGTCTGTGAATCACGACGAAATTGTAACGCAAAGAGGTGTTAGCCAAAAGGTTAGCGTGTCAGCTCCACGCGGGAACATATGGTCAAAACAGGAAAATTCAACGGACATCATTCTAGTAACTGATGAGAGGCGGTCGGGTAGCCGAGTGGTTAAAGCGTTCGCTCGTCATGCCGATGACCCGGGTTCGATTCCCGACATAGGTACAATGTACGGTGCCCATTTCTGGTGTACCCGCCGTGATATTTCTTGAATATTGCTAAAAGCGGCGAAAAACCAAGTTTCACAAATGGTTTGAAATTATCTTGGTAAAATAAGAACTCTCACACATGGTTTCAACCTCTGACAATAGATTTAGAACTTGTAATCTCACATACACACACACGCGCACGCACACACACACACACACACACACACACACACACACACACACACACACACGCACGCACGCACGCACGCACGCACGCACGCACACACACACACACACACACACACACACACGCGCGCGCATCCTTTCGGATCCCATGCCTCAAATCTACAATGAAGAAATCAACAACCTTGCCCCAGCAGAAGCTGCACAATGTCCTCCCTTTGTTAGCATGAAGAGTGGATTGTACAGACAACGCAGAAAAACAACAACAGCATTGTTACATACGCGTGCAGATGTCCAACTAGAAGGCAAGTGGGCGGAGACAACGGATGGAGGACGGTTCCTTGCTGTTCCTTGCATTTAAACTATTCAATGATTATGTCGTGTCAAACTGGGTTGGGGATGATGCTAGATTTGGTGTTGTGTGTGTGTGTGTGTGTGTGCGTGCGTGCGTGTGCTTCATAGTTGGTTCGCTTACTGGGAAATCGAACCCAGGAACATGTTGTGGCGATCAAACGCTTTACTCACTAGGCAACCCCGTCAGTCCTCCACCTTTACATCAAGATTTGGTTGGTTTCGGTTGGTTTGTTGTTTAACGCCGCACTCAGCAATATTCCAGCTATATGACGGTGGTCTGTGAATAATCGGGTCTGGATCAGGCAATCTAGTGATTAATATCATGAGCATCGATCCACGAAATTGGGATACGATGACATGCATCAACCAAGTCAGCGAGCCTGATCTACCGATCCCGTTAGTCGCCTTTTACAACACGCATAGTCACCTTTTACGGGTTGGTGAAGACCAATTCTGCCCCGGATCTTCACAGGTCTTAACATCAAGGACACATATGGCACACATATAAGACTAAGAAAAGTTCAAGAACACCCAATTCTTTATATACCACTCTAAGTTAATCTGTCACGACTGGAGTGATTTAGTTGGGTTTAACGCCGTTGGGAACAGAAATCCAGCTGTGCCACGCCGTGTCGACTTCATGTGGAAGGAAAGCCCAAGGTGATGCAGATCTCAGACATTTACCGCTTTGGTGAAACCCACGAGCACGGGCATGGTGCTGACGATCCGCGATTCGTACTCTACGATCGTAGGTTTCTGGCGTACCCAAGGAACGCAA